AAGAAAAGATTGGAATAGAGACCTTAGGAGGCACCGAGGCAGCATGCCACACTGGAGAATTTGTTTTGTTATGCGGCTACTGAGACTGCTGCTCGAGAGTTAATTCGCCATGGGGTTGAAAAAACACAGCCCAACTTTTAAAGTATTTGTCTTATTTCAACACAGCCTAGTGCAAAATGCATTTATATATCATAAACACAGTGCAACAACTTTATTAAGGATTAATAAGCTTTATTAAGCACATATTTGTCTGCTGTATGTTGACTAGAAGCTATGAAAAATGTGATGTTACTATTGCCACATGTTTAAATGATTGCCTGCATATGTATCCATGACAATATCTATTCATCTTCTGTTCTTTATATATGTTTTTATTATAAATATCTTTATTCTAGTGGAACATTTTAATATCAAAGTTGACACAGTGAAGTGCAAATTGGAATAGGTCAAATGAAAATCAGATACCTGTATCTTGAATTTGTTCCAAGTAGTTTGGTATTGATAAGAGAAATCTGATTGTTTTCTCTATGTCAAGACGTAGCAGCCTTCAGTAATTCGTGCTTTCTAGTCAAAGCAAGGGTTCCACGCTCAGCCTTCCAAGTCTGTAGTAAATACTTTACCAGGCGTAAGTGATGTACGGAAATGAGATTAATCCATGTTGTAGGGAGTTTATAAGGTTTAGTACATATATGCAGTTTCAAGAAGAGCGTTATTTTCCATAATCATTTATCTCAAGCATAGGAAGCATATGCATGATTATATAATTAACAGAATATTTGTTTGTCAGTGTTTGGTTAGTGTGCATAATAATATCATTATTAGGCCTTCTGTGCTCCTGTATTATCAGATTGTTATCTCTCTGCTCCTTTAATTCACTGTCTCTGCTTTTTAGATTAATCACTTTGTTTTAATCTGAACATTTTAAGGGTTTTTTGACCATGAAGGGAATGGTTTGTGAACACCAAAGCAAAAGTTATTTTAGAACAGATCTTAATCTTTTTGGTTTGGTTTGGTTTGGGTTTTTTGTTATTGTCATATCTGGTAATCATTTTTATAAGGTGGTGTTTTAGTCCCAAATCTTGTTCCAAATCATATTTTCAAATATCTATCTGCTCCATTCTAATCAGTTCTGCATCTCTCAAATTATCTTCACTGCCCTTTTCCTCCATCATACTGCAGGCAGCATACTGCCAGCTGAAACTCTCTCATCCTTCATGATTTTCTTCTTTAGTGGTCAGTCTTGCTCACTGCTGAAGTTTACTGTATCAGGCTATCCTGAAAAGGATGAAAAATGATAATGTTGGTATTTTCCATTGTGCCCGCAAAGTTTGAACTCAACTAGTTAACACCGTTTTTCCTCCAAGTACTCAAACATATCGGGAAATAATTATTCTCTCTTTTTTAATCTTTTTTTTTTTTAGAGGGACTGAATAATACTCAATCTATTTTGTTGGAAAAAGATTGGTTTCTAAATAAACAACCCGCTAGACAGTTATCCCTTGATCATATGTTACGGAAGATGTCATCTACATTTTCCCTTGTTTTTCTTTGTGAAACATGTTTGTTTTTTTCCCTTTTCAGCACTCTCGGTCACAATCTTAGTAACCCTTTTCAGGACATGCAACATATGTACAACTTTTCGTGTTTCCTATGTATGCCACCTCCACTTGCTCCGCTTTGAATATTAGTATTATGTAAGGGTGTATTCATTTTCGAGCGTTGCATTTCTTTGCTTCTGAGATTATAATCTATTTTGTGCATTGCTGAATATGATAAATATTTCATGTATTTCACCCTATTACCATTTTCTTTTTCCTGCCTGCCCTGTATGCTGTTTGTGCTTATTTCGGTAAACGTCAGCTTGGTTCTTTACCTAGTCTTGATGCATTCCCCTTGTTTTATAGTAAGTAATATATGAGTAGTGATAATTCTGCTCTTCATAGATTTATTGATTCGCCTTTTCTTTGTTCAGAGGCTATGCTATTTTGTGTATTACAGAACTGGTATTAGTCTCCCCACTTGCCTACTTTTGCTGCTGCTTCAAGTTTGTATGTGCAGTTCGGTATGAGGTTTTTATCGTTTGTTTGGTTTTTTTTTTTTAAAGTTACTATCCTAAACGTTTTGGCTATGTATCTGCCCATGCAATAATTCATGTTTTCTTTGGCTGATGATGCAACATCATAGACTTTTAGAAACAGTATATTCAAATAGTATGCATTTTATCAATAAAGAAGTTTAATTTTTCTCTTATCTCGTAGCTTGTACAAACTTGTTGCTTTCAAGTTTGGCTAGTTGGGTTACTTTTTTTCCAAGTGCATTGTGGGAAAAAGTTATGTCTGTCTCACAGTTATTTATTTTGTCAATACGTTACCACCTTTTACTTTTCACCTTTTACCAGTGGCTTTTGGTCCCGGTCTGCAGACATGATACAGAGAGAGTTTTGTACCGTCCCGCATCGTGGTGGGGCTGTAGTATTTCGCCGCTGTGCGCACGGAGTGATTTATTACTGTTACCTAGGGTGTGTTGGTGGATGATTTGGCTGGCCACGGCACCCCACCGCCTCACCCTCGTCGTGTGGCTGATGCCCTCCACTGAACGGTGACACGCTCACCCAACCCTTGCCGCCTTCTAACGTGCCTGCTGCTTTTCTTTCACCTCACTCGGTACCAAGGGGACACACGCACTTCTCTCTCCCCGGGCGCCCCGCCGCCTCCCCGGGGGCTGCCCCCGCGCCGCGCC